AAAGGGGGGGGGGGGGGAATTTTAGTTTTGGAAGACAGGTGAAAAGCAACTATCAAAAATAATAATGGTGAGGAGAAAAGCACTAAAGTTGATAATAATGAAACACAAAAATAAAGTGTAAGAAAACAAAATGTCTCATGATATTGTTGGTTTGTTGAGTCGAAGACGAGAGAAATTAAAGATATAGGGCCCAAAAAAAACAAACATAAAAAGAGACTTTGATGAGTGCCCGGACACTTTCTTTTAATGTGGTTCGTTGATGAACGTCATTACTTGTTAAATCACTTAGTGTGTTGACAAATTCAATACCTATATTACAAATTATCCCACCTCTATTTGTCTCTTCTCTCTTATTGAACTGTCCCTAAAAAAATCTCAACATATATACTGGTCTCGATCTATCTATTTATTTATTTGACACATGATTTATTTCAGGCCGAAAACTTGTCCCAAATCGTGGAGTTAATGAATTTATTATGAATGGACATAATCCAACACTCCTAAAATGGACGGGATATTTAAAAAGGAATTTAAGAAGAAAGATTATATAAATACTACTCCCTCCGTTTCAAATTAACAGTCGTGGTTACTAAAAATAGTTGTTTCAAATTATTTATCATTTTAAAAGTTCAAGACAAAACTGGTTATTTTTTTCCTTTTTTACCCTTAGTGATAATTGTTCTTAAAGATGGAGATAACACATAAATAGAATAGATATTCAATGAAGAGAGATTATATCTTATAACATAAATAATGGTAGAATAGTTCAATCCCTTTTCTAATTAATATTTCTGAGAAACACGACACATAATACAGGAGAGAGTAATGTTCTACATTGAATAAGCATTTTACACATGATTTCTCATTTGAGACACGTCTAGTTGTACACACACTCCTTTAAGTTTGACAATTTAGTAATTTCATACTATTATATTGCTCCAAGGCAAGTATCCTTTTTCTAAGATTTTTGTACATTCATTAAAAAACTAATAGTAACATTTGATTAAATTACCTTGATTCTCTCAAATTATTTTTTCTCTCTCCTCAGATTAATTATTTTAAATCTCTTTTCAGACTTTTTAAACCATTTATTGGAATTAGGGTAAATTTGATTAAAAAGAATATTTATTAATTTTCTAGAACGATAATTATTTTGAATCAAAATCTTTTGGCTCAAAAGACACTTATCTTGAATTCGGAGAGAGTAATATTTTATGACACAACCCTCTAAACTATACCTGTTAATCGGGCCG